ATGTGGGCCACAGTCATGCGGTTCTGGGTCAAGGTGCCGGTCTTGTCAGAGCAGATGGTGGAGGTGGAGCCCAGAGTCTCCACGGCCTCCAGGTTCTTCACCAGGCAGTTCTTCCGAGCCATCCTCTTCGCTGTGAGAGTCAGACACACCTGAGAGAGAGAGACAGGTCAGACACGCCTGAGAGAGAGAGACAGACAGGACCAGTAGGAGGCAGGAGAGAGATAGACAGGCAGGGCCAGTATTGACACTCACAGTGACTGTAGCCAGCAGTCCCTCAGGCACGTTGGCGACAATGATGCCGATGAGGAAGATGACGGCCTCGAGCCAGCTGTAGCCCAGCACAATGGACAGGATGAAGAAGGTGATGCCCAGGAAGACGGCCACGCCCGTGATCAGGTGGATGAAGTGCTCGATTTCCTTGGCGATGGGGGTCTTGCCCGTCTCCAGCCCCGACGTCAGAGTGGCGATGCGGCCCATCACCGTGCGGTCGCCCGTGGCGACGACAATCCCGCGGGCTGTGCCTGGGAGACAGAGGGCGCGGGTGAGAGAGGCAGGAGGGAGCGTGTGTGTGTGAGAGCACCCACAGCGCCAACCCTGATCCAAACAAAACCTCTCCTTCGGGCAGAGAGCAGGGACAGGGAGAGGGAAGAGGGAAGAGGGACAGTCTGACAGAGAGGGATGCAGTTGCCATGGTGACCGTACCCTCCACACAGTTGGTTGAGAAGAAGGCAATGTTCCGTGTCTCCAGGGGGTTGTCATGGGTACAGTCAGGTGACCGGGTCTGGGGCTCTGATTCGCCAGTGAGGGAGGAGTTATCCACCTGTCGGAAGACAGGGAACACAGCTGTCAATCACTCGGACACAGGCCCAGCTGTCCAGAGTGGCCTGTGTGTGTACAGTATGTATTCCTGCAGTGCCTGGCCGGGCCAGCGGGCGACCGAGGGGTCAGTACCTTGCAGCCGTGCGCGGAGACGATGCGGAGGTCAGCAGGCACTCTGTCTCCCCCCTTCACCTCCACCAGGTCTCCAGCCACCACCTCCTCCGCGTTGATCTGCATCTTCTCTCCCTCGCGGATCACCAGGGCTTGCTGCAGAGACACAGCCAGGGACACCATGGGGCAGTGACCGGGTGTCCCCGCTCCCCGTCCTCACGACACCCCAGACCCCCTGTCTGTCTCTCCTCGGACCTGCTCCGGTCTCTCAGACGCCCTTGTCCTGGACTGAGGAGATTCAGCTCCACAGCCCCGTCTGAGCCCAGGAAACAAGTCTCCCCCTCTTCCCTCTCCCTGTGGGGAGCTGACCAGCTCTGAGCACAGTATTCTAACCCTGACACTGTACCTGACAGCCCTGAGTCCAGGATAACTCCCTCTCTTCTCTCTTCCTGTGGGGAGCTGACCAGCTCTGAGCACAGTATTCTAACCCTGAAACTACCTGACAGCCCTGAGTCCAGGATAACTCCCTCTCTTCT